TGGTCGAGTTCGACAAGATGGAGAATATGCAGTATGCCGAGGAGCTTGTGAGGGAGTTTCTTGTCTTTAGAGGATTCACTAACACTTTGCAAGCTTTTGATTCTGAATTATCTACGGATATTGGTAAAGGTTTTCAAGTGGATAAGATAATGGATTTGATCTTCTCGGTGTATGTACCTAAGTTTCAGGCAGAAAAGTTAGTTGGCCTGTTCAGTTTTTTCAAGCAGTGTCTCTCTTCATCATCCGAGACGGTACTTTTGACTACTCTTTCTAAATTGGAGGTGTCTATTCTACGCTACTATGTTGTTAGTGCCATCCAGTCAGGAAGGAGGGACAAAGTTTTAGAGTTCTTTGGAATGAATGGGAATGATTTGTTGCAAAGGGGTCAGGACTGGGCTGCATGGTTTGGTGGGTTTGTCATTTCATCTTTCTAATTTGGTATAGTGACCTACTTTCTCCTTCATTTACACTTTTTATTGTGTGATGCAGCCATTCCATATGTAAAGAAACCAAACTCTGATCCTGAGTTTCGTATATATTTTTCAAAGGAATGGTATGAGGCCTTGCGTTTATCTGTGAGGAACTTCTTTAGTGAAATCTTCAATGGTACTCATATCCTTCGGAATTTGTTTATATATATGTCGGCATTCACTGCTTATGGTAGGGACTTTGTTGTCACTTGTGACCCAACTGCCTAAATTTATGATATTATCAGAACTTCACAACTAGCGTATAAAAACTTATCTTTGTTTAGATGAACCTTACTCTATTTTATTGTGAATTTATATATTTCAAGTGGAAGCAACTAACCTCCTCTATTGTTGGCTGGTTTTTCGTTGGTTATTCCCCTTTTATGGTACAGTATGACTAAGATTTGAAAAAGAAATGCCCTTAACTAAACCACGCATGCCAGCCCTTTTGAAAATCAATTCGGAGAAGACTACTGTCAACCGTCTAAAAAAAGACATCAAGCAACTTAATCTCAAGTTGTCAGAACTTCAGGCTTTGTTGGAGGAAAAAGATGGTCAGTTATGGCAGTTAAGAAGGTAAATTTTTTTAATTGTTTCACCCCTTCAGAGTTGAGACTATCACGTTTAATGAATTGTATATAATTGGTGCAAGAGTTCATCAGTAGTGAGCCTATGATTTTTTTTTTCCTTCGTAATTCTTTTATTTTTGTGAAACTCAGTAATGCTTCATCATTAGTGGATGCAAGCACTGAAGAAACCAAGAGTTCATCAAGTGTGGTGTATGAGGAAAATCGTCTTATATCTAAAGATTCTCGCGAAACATGCCCTCCTGCTACTTTTCAAATAGGGGAAGCAGAGGTGAATCAAGATTGGATTGTGGCTGGACCTGCTGGAATTCGACCAGAAATTAACATATCCAAATCTGATCCTAACTTAAGTTCTCAATCAAGCCTTCGTGCAGGAGATGGTGGAACTGCTGATAGTATTCAGCTGTTCCAGGATGGCCCATATAATGGTAGATAACAGCTATATCTGACTTCTTTTCCTTGGTGTATTGGGGACAGTGTGGTAACTATTTCTCAGATTATCTGTTGATAACTATTGAATGTCATGTGGCAGAAAATGGCAGGGAAAGCCATGTAGAAGACTTCCCTGAAGTTAAAGTGGACTTTCAGGTAAGTTGCGTCTAAAGCTTGATTAGTTCTTGTTGATGTTACAAACTCATATTTCTATTCTTTGAGCTTCTGCATATTGTAGTTCCCCTTTGTTTTTTTGTCTGAATTTTTCTTTAGCTTCACTAGTTTACATTTAATTGGGGACTCCGTAACTTTTGAATCATCGTGGTTTGTAGGAGACATTTTTGGGCCACACAAGTCCAATCACTCGCTGCAGCTTTTCTGCATCTGGAAACAATATAGCCAGCGCATCTGAAGATGGCACAGTAAGGTATTATTTCATGGTTATAACCTTGGCTGTCAAGTCTACTTAATCCCTTTGCCTTTTATTTTGTATCATGTGTCAGCTGCCTAGGTGACCTGTTGAATGTGGCCCCTCACATATTCACAGATCTGTCTACACCTAGGTGTCGCATTCCTTGGGTTGCCTATGTTATTATGTGTGATGTGTTCATTGTTCAACTCCTTGACTGTTTGCTGGTTCCAGATTTATAATCTGTATTTCTTTGTACATATTTAAATAGGATATGGACATATGACTCATCAACTCCGGCATCTAGAAATGCAACCATTTATTGCGGAGCCAAAATTATGTCACTTGACTGGGAATGTAAATCTGACCGACTGGTATGCAGATTGGATTTTCATAATGAACTCAAATATTGCTTGGCCTTGAAATCATACTCTGATTATTTGAGATTGGAAATATCTACTTTTAAGTGTTTTTTTTTTCTTTTGACAAAAGCTTCTCATAGGCACTGCTGATGGAGGCATTAAAGCATGGAATGTCGATGCGAAGAGAGTTGTCTGCGATCTTAACACGAGTGAAGCATTTCCAAGGTTCTTCCTAATATTACTGGTACTATTGTGTACTCCTTGGTGCTGTTATTTACCTTTGTTCTCCCTGCTACAGTGTCTTGGATATAAAATGCAGCCCTGTAGAGCCAATATTTGTTTCTGCAGCAGCATCCAAGGGGTATGTTCTTTCTGTAATCTTATCATTTTGTTCATATGCCAGACTCTGTGTTTGACCAAAATGTTGCCCCTATTGTAACAATCCTATTCAACTGAAGTGTGGTATGAGCACCATGCTGTGAAATGATTATAATTGGATCATGGAAAGATTCATCTTTTAACTTAAGTACATGCATCTATGTCCTTGTATGTGTGTATTGGGGTATTAAATTTTGATGCATGTCAGAATTAGGAGTTTACTGTCTTTGTAGGCATGGATCAAGTCACCTTGATAGTCTCGGGTTCGCTTCATTAACTGTGTGGAACATGAAGACATGGAAGGCTATGGTATGTGCTATAGCCACTTATGTTTTAATGCCTTCTTCTTTTTGTGAGAAGAAACTTGTATTTTTATGCCTTGAATAACCTTTTGGGTTTCATGAAGACAGTTCTTCCTCTTGGTAAAGATCCCCCTGCAATTACATCCCTTAGTTTCAATCACAATGGAAAGATTTTAGCAGCCGCTGCAACTGATGGAATGATTCACATGTTTGGTATCCTCACATATATTTTAGGCTTGGTATAAATTGTAGGAAATTAGGTGGTAAATGATTTTCAGAAGAGCAGAAAACCTCTGTTTTTGACATTTTTGCATTGCCCGAGTGTTATTTATTTTTCCAAGACGGTTAAATCACCCTCAACAAGGGCATTTAACTGTATGGTCAAGCCCATGTCTTCGTAGAATCATATATGGCTTGCCCCTTTCTATAGCTGAGGTTTCCTGCAGATGTACATGCTGATAGATATATGAACACCTTAACAAGCCAAAGATATGTCTGCCGGTCTACAAATAACTGGGTGGCCAGCACACGACTCTGCTATAAGCTCCATTCTTTTTGGGCCTGATGAGACAAGTATTTTCAGTTTGGGAGTAGATGGAAAGGCAAGTGCTTTACGTTCATTTTCCCATGAAGTTTAACTAATGCATTTTGAAATGTTGTCCCCATCATTTTTTGAACTGTAGATGGCCTTATAGTTTTGTTATCTTAAAAGTATTTACTTAAAAGAACTGGTTTTGTGGTGTCAGGTTCTTGAATGGAGCTTGCAAAACCAAGGTCAAATCCTTTGGTCAAGAAATTGTAGCAGGTACGTTCTTTGGCATATGGAAATTGGTTGCACAGCAGTCTTATCAAACAAAAATACTTGGGCATACACCTGATTAACTAACATTACTCTCTTCCATACTGTAGATTCTGTGACCCTGAGAGCTCAAAAAATTGCAGACATGAAATGGCTTTAGATGCTAATGGGAGGAGACTATTGGTAACCTCTGGTTCAGTAAGAGCACCTATATATCAGGTTGTTCTCTCTTCTTCATATGCGTGTGTTGTGTGTCTTCGTCATGTACATTGTACAGTGCTACTCGATTAGGGTCAACTTGCTAAGCATATTGAATCTAGCCATCCAAAGATGGGTCGCACTTGGATTATTGACTTGGACACCAAACTAAACATTTTGGTGGTCTTGGATTTCCCTGATTGCCATGCTTTGTAAGATGTAGGTGATGCTTCTGTTTTAACACAAAGTTTTGTTTCATAAATTTGGCTCAGGTTCGGGGTCATGCTATTGGGTTGAGAACTCTCCCACACAGTGCTGCAATAACTACTGTGGATTGGCACCCAACTTTGCCTCTATTCGTAACAGGATCAGCTGATAACTCTGTCCGAGTCACATCTATGTCATAAAGGTTTCTGATTTGATCTCTTTGTTCTTGGTGTGCTTGAGGTTGAACGAAGTTCACTCCGGGTTTGTTTGAACAGGTTTCACTCCGGCTTTCATCTGAGCAGGCTGTCTTGTATTCTTATGTAGGTGTAAATCATTGAACAATTTGTTTTATAGAGCATAGCCATTCTTTGAAAGTTCGGGCATGTCCGTGTTGTGTGGCGTTATCTATCTGCTTCATGCTACACATAAAAATAAAAGATGAAAGTTTTGGGCTCGTTTCGATACTAAGATTTGAATTTGATATCTATGGATTATAAATATGTGCATTTCAAATTTATAAATTTGAAATCAACATGTTTGGTTTACATATTTTATAGCAAGAATTTCAGTCAAGGATTTCAAATGTTTGAAGAATCGCTTGGCAGTAGGTGGGCGGCATGCAGGGAATTGGGGCATAGGCGGGCGCCTAGGTGTTTCATTTTTTTATAATTATTTTGTATTATAAATTTATACCAAAATTATGCAAAATAAAAGGATTTATAAAAGAAAACTTTGACATTTTTTAACCTCTATATTATCTGATTTTTACTTTTGTATTTTCTATAAACTTGATATTAAAAAAAAAATCTGCAAAAAAAGGTATAGACCCATTTTGCTATGTTTAAAAAAAGGCCCATTTTAATTCTATGTTTAAGCCCATTTTACAAAACCCTAGCTATATTGAAAATTAGGTTAGATATTTTCTCCTTCACAGCGCCCTTCTCCTTCCCAGAAGCGTGTCGCCGCCTCATGCGCACTTCAACCGCCCCTCGTCCGCACCTCAGCGGCAAAACGCCCAGGCAGGTACGCGTCGCTGCTTTTTTCCAGCGCCTCTTTCAGCCCAGGCGCCCAGACCCGCCTAGCCCCGCCTAGCCCCCCCTAGCGCCGCCTAGCCCGCCTAGCCCGCCTAGCGCCGCCTAGCCCGCCTAGCCCCGCCTAGCCCGCCTAGCCCCGCCTAGCCTGCGCTAGCCCGCCTAGGGCGATTAGCGAAAATTTTCGTTTGATGGGATCAGCCCAGTTTCTGAGAGTTGTCAATCTTAGCATATGTATGATAGCCAGCCGAAGCAGAAAAGAGCAGTCCATTATACAAAATCCTTAAGACAAACAAGCGTCATAGTTTATGACATTTAATATTACATCATGGTTGAAATAAATGAGGCTCACACGTTGGCCCTCAAACTTCAACTTCTGGAGAAAAGGTTGTGCCTTACGCCAGCAGCTTCTGAGGAGTAAAATCATGTTAAAACAAAAAATGAGTTTCAAAGGAGGAACCCCTGTATTATCAAGGAAGATCAGATATGATAATCATCTCATATTGCTAATTTGAATTTCTACACTGCATATCGAAAGAACCCACAAACACATAACACTAAAATAAAAGAAATAGCTTAACCATTTATCTTTGAAGTCTCCTCTGCAACTTTGCCTTGTGCATGGCTGTTGTCACATAATCCGATCTTTTATATTATCCAAGTAACGGAAATAGGCGTATCTCCAAGAACTCTTAAGTAGTAAAGTACCAAAGACTCCCCAGAATCCTATGATCAATCCAAGCACCATGCTGACATAAAATCCGAAGCTTATGAGACCATCATCTTCTTGTTTGGTCTTATCACCTCCATCTCCATTGGGGACTGCAGGATCTTGAGTTGCTTCATCCCCTGGGCATTCTGGCGTGAGTGGAGGCCCGCAAAGTCCAAGATTTCCCATAAACGCAGAAGCATTAAAAGTTTGAAGTTGGGTGCTTAGTGGAATTCTTCCTGATAAGTTGTTGTGTGACAAGTCCAAGACACTAAGATAATGTAAGCTTGAAAAACTTGGAGGGATTCTACCAGATATCTGGTTTCTTGACAAATCAAGAGATTCTAACATCTCCAACTGACCAAAGTTGCTGGGAAGCACCCCGGTAAAACTGTTTCCTGATAGGTTCAGAGAAATCAACTTCAGCAAACTTGTTATACTTTGTGGAATGTCCCCATTTAAGTTATTGTTTGAGATGTCGATGCTTCTCAAATGCTTAAGATTTTCTCCAAATTCAATCTCTATCCCTTTCCACACCAGTTGTACAAAGCCAAGAATCCAATTTTCCTCCACCTTCGGAGACACAGAAGACAAAGCTGTTATATTAGGGAGGCAATGTGGCAAGGCTCCAGATATATTATTCTGAGAGAGGTCTAAAACATGAAGAGCGGGAAGACTACATAGACTCAAGGGTATGCTTCCATAGAACTCATTAGACCCAGAGGCGGCCCATGGGGTGTGCGAGATGTGCGACCGCACAGGGCCCCCAAAATTTAGGGGCCCCAAATTTTTCCGAGTCAACGCATTCAATTAATTGAGACATGAAAATAAAAATGAAATATTAAATATCTTTTCTCCCTCCCTCATTTACATGAGAATTCACTGAGCATTGAAATTGGAAAATCAATTTATCAGCTCTATGATTTGGAAGAGTGACTAAAGAAATTTTTCTGGGAAGCTCTTTCCGAAGGTGTTCCTCCAGTGTCAGAAAATTTTGTTTCTATATGGATTTTTTTTTCCTACTTGTATATGTAGGGCCTCGACATCCATATTTGCACAGGGCCTCCAAAATCAATGGACCGGCTCTGATTAGACCGTAAGCGTAGAACCAGCAAGTTTGTTAGGCTGGGGCCTATCCATGCTGGTATGTTTCCAGATAATTTATTGGCTCCAAGGTCAACAACTCTTAACTCTGTACAGTTCTTTAAAGAAGGAGGCAGTTCTCCTGAAAGATTGTTATCATGCAAGCGTAACAACACAACATACGTTAACTGCCCTAATGAGCTCGGTACTTTTCCGGAGAAATTATTCTTTGCCAAATTCAGTGAGTGTAATGCTTGATATTGCATCCAACAATCAGGAAGCTCCCCTGACAGTAGGTTCTCAGAAAGGTCGAGATTATACAATTCTGGAGCTTGTGTTGCACATAAGGAAGATAGGGATCCTGAAAACATGTTTTTGGAGAGAAAAACATTGCTTATGTTTGAAGGAAATGGTGGGAGTGGACCAGAAAACTGATTAGATGTCAAGTCAATTGTGAAAAAGGTGCAGTTCTTTGATGATAGATTAGGAAACTTCCCATGGATTTGGTTCATAGAGAGATTTAAGTCAAGTAAGTTGGAAGATAGATCCCAAAACTCATTAGGTACTGAACCTGAGATCCCAGCATTAGACATACCAAGAGCAGTAAGTTTTCTCTGTGTCTGAATCCATTTGGGAAATTCAGGGCCTACATTGCAAGAACTCATGTCTAATATGTGAAGTTGAAAAGGTGGGTTCCAATACGGACTCAAGTTGAAAGACAAAGGATTGTAAGAAACATCCAAAAACTGTAAACGAGAGAGGTTCAAGAAGTGGACTTCTGTTAAGACACCATTCAAAGAATTCACAGAAATATCCAAAAATTCAAGGCTAGAAAGTTGCCCAATACTCTCAGGTAGTGAGCCGGTTAGTTGATTTCTGGAAAGAAATAGTTGTCTTAATGATGAAAGACCTGTAAAATCTGGTAATGGCCCGCTGAACTGGTTTAAAACTAGGCTCAAGGATCTTAGTTGGTAAAGTTCCTGAAAACTTTTCGGGAGAGGCCCGCTCATATTGGTACCATCGATGTATAGTTCTTTCAAGGATGAAAATCGTGTAAGATTATCAGGAAATGGCCCCCAAAACGGGTTGCCACTTAATTTTAAGGACTCAAGGGTATCCTGGGCACAAGACAAGTTTTCGATAGAGTCTTGAAGTTTATCAGAAAGTTTGTTTTCCCATAAGTTCAATGATTCTAATCTGCATAGGTTTCGAAAGGATTTTGGTATCCCACCCTCAAGTTGGTTATAAGACAGATCAAGAGATGTTAGAGAAACCATGTTTGAGAAAACATCTGGGATGAGACCTTGTAACCGGTCTCCCATCAATCCAATGTGTACAAGGCTGGTGCTGATATCGGCCATCCAATACAAAATGGAAGAATTAAGAAAATTATCAGAGAGTTCAAGGACTTCAAGAGAGGTTGAAGAATTGACGAAAGAAAGCGATCTCAGGTCGACATTAGGAAGACTACATGAAGATAACTGCAGCTCAACCAGTGAAGGGAGCTTGCTTATAGAGTGAGGCCAATTTACAACCTTAGAGAAGTTAAGACTTGACATGTTCAGGTATCTCAAAGAGGAAAGATGAGATAACCACTCAAGATTTTCAAAAGTAACGAAGTTATGTGCAAGATCAAGAGTATACAAATGAGAGAGATTTCCCAGTTGGGGAGGAACAGGTCCGCTAAGACTAGCACCTGCAAGTTTGAGTTGTTTCAGCTGACTCAAAGAGCCAATGAAGTCGGGAATCTTTCCCTCAAAATTATTGAAACTCAGGTCCAAGTAATTTAGATATCGCAATTCAAGCAGAGAAGGAGCAATCACACCACTTAAAGGAGTTTCAAGATTGTAAATATCAGAAGAATTATAGTAGAGATCCAGCATGGTTACATGACCTGTTTGGTTGCTGCATGCAATTCCTCTCCACTGGCAACAATCTTTTTTGCTTTCCCAAGATCCAAGAACATTGGAGTTATCCACTAGGCCTTGTTTGAACTGAAGCAGAGCATTTTTCTCTGTCTCTAGGCACCTAATGTTGGAGCTGATCCCAGCACTTACACAACATATAGCAGAGGTTGTTAGGAGCACAAATAAGACAGCAAATGTGGAGCTTATAGTACCACTTGTGATTGTGAACAACATGGTTATGAATCTTAGGAGCAGGTAGGTAGGGTGGGGAGATGATGTGCAAATTGTATGTCAATTTAGGAGAGTGTTTTAAGGAGATATGATTTGTTGTCGTTATCTGGACGTTGACTACACAAATATTACAATATTTTGATAGCTTGAGCAGAGCGATGATGACCAGGAAAAAACGTCCCATGGAATTTGTTGAAAATTGAAACAACGCGGCGATGGTGATGTTTAGAATCGGATAATATTTAGAAGGGACGACTTTTGACTTCAGCATTTTGAAAAATTATTGTAATATTAATCAACAATATGGGGGATGATGACCAGGAAAAAACGTACCATGGAATTTGTTGAAAATTGAAACAACGCGGCGATGGTGATGTTTAGAATCGGATAATATTTAGAAGGGACGACTTTTGACTTCAGCATTTTGAAAAATTATTGTAATATTAATCAACAATATGGGGGCATGAAGATATTAATCAACAATATGAAAATAATTTGACGCAAGAAATTGAGGCCGGGGGTTCCTTGCGAAAGGGGTGATTATAATTTATAGATGGTGATGTGCACAACAATACAATTTTATTAAGAGGTAGGTACATACACATATAGATTAGGTCAATTGATCAAGGCCGTGAGTCCATCCTCATCCAGAAACGAATGCTAGAATTCCCCTTATTTGATGTGCAAGTTGCCATTCATCCATCCAAGAGATTGTCAGATAATTTTGTGATCCGGTTTACAAGTGTAACTTTTGGTTTTGAATTCTTCAGTCCGGATGATCCAAATGATCGGTTTCAACCCATGGGCATGCACGTTGGTAATGTTAAACTACAGAAACAAGACAATTTTCATCCGTGGACAGTGGTCCAACCTGTACAATCTTTTTCCCCGTGTCCATATACTGACGAGTCCCTTTACACAATCTACACTACACTCAAACATCAATAATCTTAAAAGCAAAATCTGATTGCAGTTTCAAGAAAAATGGATGACTTCCTTCGCAACTCTGGATAATAACACGTCACGATATCATCAGCACGATGGTAGAGAGAGAGAGATGCACTCAGTCATCATCTTCATCTTCAAGTACCATCCTCAACTTCCTTCTGCTTACGCCACTCTCTGGGAATGCACCATGAGCCATTTCATCCCCTGAATCCGCCAAGTCATTGTCCATTTGCTCATGTTGCAAATCCTCCAAATTTTTCACAGGTCCAGCATCTAATGGATTGCCAGTGCCAGTGCCGGTGCCGGCGCCTCTAACTGCAGCTTCTGCCGTGCCATTCGGACTAAGATGCTTGAAGGCAGAGCCTTCGTCAACTCCATCTTCCAAAGCATTACTGCTTGATGTTCCCTGAATTGAGATGGCTGCAGAATTTTGATCCATGGGCTTGGAAAGGGGTCTCCTGGTTTTCCTATATCCAAAAGACAAATGAATTAGAATTAGAAGAAATAGTTACCTTACACAATCAGAATCCTATGACTTCATCATTCTTATACTTTTTTAGAGAGAGAGACAGAGAGAGAGAGAGAGAAAGATTTACTTGAGAGCAGAGCTTAGGATTTCATCATCAGAATCATCTTCCGACGCTTTTCGTCCAGTAGTCTGCTCTAGTAATTCTTCACTGAATCTGCTATGATCCTTTTTGCCCCTGGAAGTTCAAAAATTATTGTCATACTAATATCTACAGATCATGCATGTTGTATTTACACATGGAGCCAACATAAATTTACAAGAGAAAGAAGCTTCTAGTGTATCCAAAGTCCAAAGTAAATGTCTATGAGGCACAGACCATAATAGGAGTATGAACACAGACCATAATAGGATTATGGAGTTTCACAACATTATATTGGAAGGTTTAACCAAAAGGAATATGGAGTTTTACATATGCGGTGCAAGTGCCCACACATTATGGAAACTAAGCAAGTAGAGAACTAGTGGTGAAATAAATTTAATAACAAAACAAAATGGATGTATGACCTTTTCATTAATGATAACAGCGTCTCATCATCAGAGTCATGCTCTTTGTTTGTATTAGAGTCATTAAGATCCTCATCTCTCAGCATGCCGGCTGCAGACCTCTTCTTCCGAGGAATATGTAAACCAAGCTGCTTAAGCTTACGAGAAACTTGAGAAGCTGTGAATTTACCATCACCGTCCATTGCATTTGCAATCATGTGGCTGCACCTTTTATGGTCTTTAAATCTGGGTATGACAAAGACGAAATTTTTTTCTTTAAAAATAAAGAATAGTAACCTCCAGCATCTATCAAGTGAAAAGAGATCAAATCTTATATTACTACCAAGTAACCAAGTAGTACTTACTGCTCATATAGAGATCTAATGTTAGTTTCCTGATCTTCACTGAAGGCACGGACTCTTTTTCTTGTGTGCCTATAAAACAATCAAGTTGAAACTAATAAACAGCTGGAGCAGCGAAGCAACATATAACATCAAGCATTAAGACTTGTCACAGAATCAAAGAGAAGAGTGGACCAAAATTACAGACTAAAGGCCACACAGCAGCCATTTATCTAAGCCAAACTGTTGCGAGTTCACAGCTGCTTCTCAAAAACAAATGTGGGAGGAGGTTGGGGAAGCAAAAGAATGAGTACGTAATCTATCAAATTTTTTTCTTGGTAAATGTGTAATCTTCAAATTTACAATTAATAAACAGTGACCAACTGCAACGAAAGACAGCAGCCATCCAAGATCTATCCCAAAGTGCAAAAACAAAACCAATGGACATAAATTATAGGCTACAAGTGAATGAAATCAGCAGCTATTTGATTAGATTCTGCGTTGCAAGTTCACAACCCCTGCTACTCGAAAAACAAGGTTTTAGGTGGGGGAAGAGGGGAAATAAAAAAAAGAGTACGTGCTCTATGATATTTAAATCAAATGAATATTTACTTTGAATACAAATGCCTAGAAAAACTTAAAAAAATACAGAAAAATAAACAAAAAGTATACAAAATGTAATACTAAGAAATTAATATTCATCTACAAATACTTACAGCGGCTGACTGTTTGATTCACAATGAGTATTAACTGCTTTTACGACTCTTCCATCTCCATCAATTTGACTAGGCCCAGTGGAAACAGATTCTTGAGCATGGCGCAGTCTTTTCCTTCGGACAACTTTCAGTCCAAGCTGTTTAAGCTTGTTGGAAATTTGAGCTGGCGAAACTCTACCATCAGGATCAAGAGCTTTCGCAATAAGATGACTACAGTTCTGGTCATCCTTGAATCTAAATTGGCCACATTTGTCAGGAAAGATTTAAGTAAGCTGGATGAAAAAAGTAGGCCTACACTGCTATACAGGCACAACTCAAATTATGTGTAAAACAGTCATCACGGCAATTGCACTTTTGTATCTTTCAGCTGATATTAGATATACCAATGTCAAGTTAAAAGCTCAAAAAAGAAAAGGGAGAAATAAAAAAAAACTTAGATCATGGGACCATACTTCTCATACAGATCCTTAATTTTCATCTCCAGTTCAGCCCCAATAACAAGTCGCTTGTTTTTTCTAGAAACCTTTTCAGTTTCATTCTCTATTGCCTGCCCCCCACTGCAACAGCCAAATGCATCAAGGTTTCAATAAGATGATAACTGAAAGACAATGTTAATCAAGTTGTAAGTATGAAGGACGTACTTGTCATAATTTTCTTGCCCATTGATCTCATTATCTGAAATAGATGCAGTACCTCCCTTCACTTTGCCAAAATTTTCTCCACTGCTGCACAAAAAGAAGGCATATTTAGCTCCTCTTGCAGTATCCGTATTCAGTTAGAAAAGTCCTTACTCTGGCCTTTTTGTTTTTTGGCAACATGGTAAACCAGTGGAAATGAATAAAATAAACTTCACAATTCTCGAGAGCAAGGCCAGACAACCAAAGGATGGTCTTAGATTCTACAATAACTTAACTGATAACATCACAAAATAATTTAATGAAGACAATGTGAATATTCCGGCTTCAGAAACATGTCTTACTTCTCATGTCCAAGCTCATGAGAGAGCACAACATCGGCTTCGTCTTCACCAAGTGCATCAGCTATGCTTCTACTTGTCCATCCCTTGTCCAGTGACTGACCAATTTCTTCATCCCCTAAACTGTTTGCCCAGTTTCTACTTTCTTTCTTCAAATGGCCAAGCTCATGCAATAAATACTCAGCATTAATGTAATGGCATTCTTTGCGAGTCTTCCAGAAGAGAATTTCCACAAAAAGTAGGGGTTGATTTTTCATCTTTTTGAGCATTTTCCTGACCAAATTTGTCAAAAATTCAACAATGGTTTCATATGCCTTGCATGGAGATGACTTCTGCTCAACTAGGATGTCATAGAATGTAGTGAGAAGTGATAACTGCAAAAAAAAAAAAATTGCATGGAAACGTTAGATGAGAAATGAACTGTAAATGGCTGCATAAATTATCTAAAGATGTATGAAGTTTAACCTGATACAGCATTGGGGAGAGCTCGAGGTCATCACTGATCCTTCGCAGCATGCATACTATGTAGTGATTTGTACTGGTCAAATTACTCTTATAAAACTTAAGCAACCAACACAGTTTCTGGATGATGTTGTTGTTTGAAAAAGCAGAAATCAAATTTGACACCTTAAAATCAACTTCATCAGTTGCAGCTACCTGCTCATCAGCAGAAGAATCACCGGTGCTATAACAAGGATCACCATTGGCATCATCAGAAGTTTTGCAATCTATACGTGCCAGACTGTCTTGGAGGTTTTCTGTCTCCAAAAACGATATTTTGCATTCATCAGGCTGAGCAGGGATATTGATGTCTTCTTTCCCATTGGAACTTGTGGTTAGGCTTCTGTTCTCTGTCACACTCACATCTGTTGAATGTTCACCATTGGAGATGCCGATCTCTTTCTGAGTGGTAGCATGTTCTCCTACGAGTTTATTTTCTGTTTCCGTCTCACTCGGTATTCTTTTCTTCCTCGCCTTCCTTGATTTTTTAGAAACCTTAATCATGAAAG